CTGGAAACTGCATCTCTGTTTTTGGAATAGGAGGATGGTCAAGACTTTGTTCCTCTTAGTGCTTTCATTTAACTTCCAGTTCTGCCTCTTTCTTTTCAGTTTAACTCTTCAGTTAAATTCAGCCTAATTCTTTAATAGATTTAACTACAGAGTTCTATCCTCAAATTTACAGAGCACTTTGTCTGTTCCAGACTTGTGTAGGAGTTTTTTACTATTTTTCTGCCTGATGTTTTCCTTTTAAAAACATTTGTATTTTACCATTTTTCTGTTATGAAGAACACAATTTCCCTCCCCCTTAGTTTCAGGCAAGACATATGAAGGATCTACTTAAACAGATGAAATGACTGAGCTGTGTGCAAAGATGTGTCTGGTGCAGGGTGAATAAGCTGAAAAAAAAGAAAATGAAATTAATTTTTCTTCAATCTCATTGCAGATAGTGCAACAGTACTGAAAAAGGGCAGGTAGATTTAGGTGAGATATTAGGGAAGAAATTATTTTCTGTGAGGGTGGTGAGACACTGGCACAGGCTGCCTAGAGAAGCTGTGGATGCCCCATCCCTGGAAGTGTTCAAGGCCAGGTTGGATGGAACTTTGAGCAACCAGGTCTTGTGGGAGGTGTTCCTGCCCATAGCAGGGGAGATGGAACTATCTGGTCTTTATGGTCCCTTTCAGTCCAAAACATTCTTTGATTCTGTGAAGTGATCCAATAGCTGTATGACAGTATCTCATTAAATGAGGGAAGTGAAATCCTTTGTGTAACTTTGTGACCTTTAAGGTTTTAAAAGGTATTTTTAATAAATACCATTTTAGTACCAAATGCTAAGGGTTTTTGTTATCAAAATATACTGGTTGTAATAAATGGCATTACTGTGTCATTTCACTCTATGCTGAAAGCATTTACAACAAAACACATCATTACTACTAAATGGAGGATTTGAAGATACAGTTACCATGGGTAGGCATAGAGGGGCACTTCCCCAGGCTGCCTCCCGGGCATTTCATTTGAAAAATCCTGTACAGGCTCTGAGCTGATACAGCAACCTTTTCCTCAGAGAGCTCTTCGGGACTTCAAAAGTAGAAGTAGGGGAAAGAATATTCAACAGTGTATCTTAAATTGGAGTCTTCTAAAGCAGCAGAGGTTGCTATGAATCAGCAGGCTTCAGTAAACTTTCAGCATCTGGCCCTTAGATATTTTGTCTTCTCTTACCTGAAAATGAAGGTTTGTGTATCTAGTAGTCCTTCTTCATAGCTGAAGTCTCATTGCCTGAGGAGCTAATGAGCTTGCGGCTCTTACTGATGTCCAGTGGAAAGATGATGAAAGGCAGTTTGTCTGTACATTGTCATACAGGCATGTGTCATCTCTGCCAGAAGAGATATCACTGATGAGCAGAAACAGTAACACCTTACAATTGATTAAAATTATTGTTAAGTACCTTTTGGAAGACAACAGTAGATGTGACAAAATGTCCCCTGTTGCCTTGCTGAAGTGATTAATCACTTAAAGTAAAAAAAGATGGATTGTGTGTAACAGGATAATATTAGCCGCAATTTAATGTGTCTGTATATGTGTATATCATTGCACCTGAAGTCATATATATTTAAATATACAGTATTTTCTTACGTAAATATAATTTTTCATTTTCTCTGTGATTTTTAAATGGTCATTGCTTTTAAAAAATACTGACTTTTTAAAGAAGGAGGAGTGTTTAGGGTGCTGAAATTCCTCCAATACTGTGCATTTTCAGTATATAGTTGAAGGATTAGTTTGAGGATTCTTGAATGTGGAAATGTTTCAGGGATTTTCTTAATGTAAAGCAGCTCTTCATAGGACAACTTCATAATTCTGATTTTCTCAGAAATTATCAATATGAAAACCTTTTCTGTACGATCTGCTGGAGACACTTCTCTTAATGCAACCCAAGATACCATTGGCCTTCTTGGCCACAAGGGCACATTGTTGTCTCATGGATAACTTGTTGTCTCCGCGGAGCTGCTCTCTAGCAGATCACCTCCTAGCCTCTACTGGTGCATTTTGTTGTTTCTTCCCAGGTGCAGGACTGTGCACTTGCTCTTGTTGAATCTCATTAGGTTCCTCTTTGCCCAGCTCTCCAGCCTGCCCAAGTCTCACTGAATGGCTGCACAACCTTCAGGTGAATCAACCAGTTCTCCCAACTTTGTGTCATCAGCAAACTTGCTAAGAGGACACTGTGTCCCATTATCAAGGTCATTGATAAAGATGTTGAACAGGACAGGACCCAGCACTGATCCATGGGGGACTCCACTAATTACAGGTCTCCAGCTGGATTCTGCACCACTGACCACCACTCTTTGAGCTCTATTGCGTGCCAGTTCTTAATCCATCTCACTGTCCATTCTTTTATGCCACATATTCTGAGCTTGCTCACAGGGATATTATGGGAGACTGTCAAAAACCTTGCTAAGGTCAAGGTAGACTACATCCACCGGTCTCCCTGATCTGCTTTCTAAGATACAGTACTTGCTTAAAAATTCCAAGGGTATACATGTGCTTTTGTAATTTTCTTTATGTTTTAGAACATAAACTAGGGATGCACAACTTTGTCACTGAATTTGAATTCCCTGCAGGAGCTACAATATTCACCATGACTGTATAATATCACAAGTTGACCTTTTGCTGCCACATTGTTTTTTAACTTGTCAGGAAGAAATTATGAAGACTTGTCATCTTGTTACATTAATAGTCACTCAAGGCTGCACAGGTTGCTATGAAAAATGGGCATACTAAAATAGATAAACATAAAATATTTAGTAGTTATCATACACTATGCAAGCATTTTTTTAAATTTTTGAAGTTAGATTGTTATGCCACAATAAACATGAATGTTGTTACCCAGCACCCAGGTTTTGATAGTTTGGCATTTGGATTTGCAGAATAAAAATTTCCCTGGTTTGTTTTTCATAGAAATGAAATATGTTGTTTATTTAAGGTTAAACAGTAAGTGTCTAGCAGAGGATATATAACCAGTGAGTGCAATAAGCAACCAGAAGGAATGTCAAGGGAGAAGGTGCCTGTTTGTATATATAAATCTGGCAGTAGACATTTGTGTGGTTTTATGTGATTCTTTACTGTTTGGAGTTTTTTTTCCTGTAGAAAATCAGTACACTATGCACTGCTGCTGACAACTGGCAATTTATGACTTCCCAGTAGAACTGGATTTTGAGAAGATTTAGATGTGTGGAGTTAAACATGGCTTCCTAAAGCCTGGCCTGTTAGAAGTAAATAAGAGTTTTATAGTAAGTGTCAGTAGGCCAAGTCTTGTCATGTATTGTTATTTTCCTACATGTAAGAAGAAAAAGAAAGGTGGTATTGGGAGATCAGAGACTGGATGATTTTCATGACTAGAGCAGTGCAGTATGATACAAGTTTTGACTGACAGTTAGCAATTTAATTTAGAGAGCCTGAAGAAGTGAGGACACATTAACATTAGCATTTTATATCTATCCTTCATGAATCTTTTTCTCTCCAAGATTTGCACCCTTGCTGGCATCTCAGAGTGTGCAGCTCTTTGAGACAAAATGAGTCTGAACAAGACATGGCAGTCACTAATGGGCAAGCAGGCCATGGAGCCAGGCTGAGAGCCCATGTGTATGTGGATACTGGGGTCCTCAGTACCAACAGTTTCACTCTGGAGAACCTCTCCTGCTGCACCACAGATTGGGCATGTAGGCGTGGCCTTGAGTGGCTGTGCTGGTGGGGAAGAGGAGCTGGGGGAATCCAAATACCTTGTCTAAACCGGTGGGTGAGACCATAACATCCAGCCATAGATGCAATCATTTATAGCTGGTAGTGTCTTAAATGGTCCAAATACTTTTGCAAGTGATCAGTTGAGCATATGGTCCATTATTATTGATTTGAAATGAAGTGGTTTATGCTTAGAGTAGAAAAATGTGGACCACTGTCATTTCAGAGGATAACATATCTGGACAGTAAGACAATAGGGCAATATTTAAAGCAAGCTGCATTTTGACCAAGGGAGGAAAAAAAGTCAACGTTTACATTTTTTATGGTTATTACTGAGTGAGAGCCTGTAGTCTGCTAGGTACTGGGGGGATTGACTACTGAGTATTTTAGTCAGCACGAATTAATACAGTAAGATGAAAAATTCTTCTGCAACATGAACAAAACTACTTGTGTTTTTTTGAAGGTTTATTTAGCTATCCCTGAGAACCTAGGAACAATATCGATGTTTCTTTGATCTCTGTGAAATATGATAGAAGTCTTCCTCGTTTCTCTCTTTTAATTTTACTCAGTTGATTTATTTCTGAGTTACTATTTGTATGGAATAGTTGATTCCTTTTAGAGAGACATAGAAACTTCTGTCAAACACTCCTGGTGGGTGCACATCCACATCCCTGCAACATGATGCTGAGGCATTTCTTTGCAGTGGTATCCTGGTTAAGATAAAAGTATTACCATAGAGAAGGTTTTGGCACTTCAGTGGCAGTGAAACAAAACTGCAAAACCTGAAACCAGGAGATGCAAGTGTCGCTTGCCATGTGTTGGATGCCATAGATTAGTTCTGTGTGACCTTTAACGGGAGTGAAAACATATTTGATTTTTGAGCTCTCTTTCCCTAGACAGTACACAGAGTGCTAAAATCCTCCATATTTTGGCAGAAAAAAAGAGCACGAAGCAACTGCTGGGTTTAAATGCCAGATTCATTTAAATTAAAAATGCAAACGTGATTTCTAGCAGAATATGATTGACCGTTGGAAATATAAACAGCTGAGAGAATGGCAGTTAATCTCGTGATGTCTTCCAGTCTAAACTTCAGTCAAGTGCAAGTTATGCCTTGGTTGTGCCTGATTTGCCAGGGTAGCTGGGTGTCAGTCTGTGTCTGCACTGTGCAGGAGGTCACACTTGATATTACTTATGATCATCTTTGATTTAAAAACAGAAAGTGTGTTATGAGCCAAATGGAAATCAGTGGTGTTCATACTTATCTCTCCCCCTACTCGCAGGTATTACAGTGCTACCATTCTGCAGATGTCAGGAGTTGAAGATGACAGACTGGCCATCTGGTTGGCTGCACTGACAGCATTTATCAACTTCATTTTTACTCTGGTGGGAGTGTGGCTTGTTGAAAGAATGGGTCGCCGGAAACTTACACTTGGTAGCCTAGCAGGTGAGTGCTTCACTAGTGAATTGTATCTTCCTCATCATTATTAATGAAATTAAAATAAAGCACTATTTTTATCAGAGTAGTCCTCCTTAAAATAACAGTGTTGACCCTGTCTTCTCCCTGAAATCATATAGCTGCTCAAGACTAGTAGTATACTACCACAGCTAAAGGCTAATTTAAAAAAAGTTTAGCACGTTGCTTTTCCAGATGCTTTTCGCGCTTCAAGCCATTTTTGGTCCTGTTTTTATTTAGCTTTTTTTTTCAGTACAAGGAATCAAATGCTTGGAAATTCACAGCTGTTTAGTTTTTAAATCCCATGTGTGTGTATGTTTTGAGTAATTTCTGGCTCATTAATGTGAATTCAGAACATCTTATCAGGCACCACCATAGAAAGCATGTTGCATTGCCATTGTGGCGCTTTAAAAAAAGTAATATATTTCTTTGCAGAGTTATCTCAAATACAATACAGCAAATACCCTGCCTACACTCATGTGGTTTTCATTCATCTCTTGTATGAGATACTAAAAGGCAAAATTCTAGATTTGCACATTTTGTCCAAATATTCAAACACTGCAACTCACCATGTAGCCATCCCTTGGAAGCAGGAAAAGGCCAAGCAAGCAGTTTTGCCTGTGCTCAGCTGCCTTCTGCCATTTACCCAGTAAGTCCCTGCTTGCTCCCACATTACACATTCATTCTGACTGAGACCAATGCCTACCTCTGTCTCAGTGGCTGAAAGGTTCAGACTTTTCACATAAATGGTTTGGAAAAGTGAAACAGTTCCTGCTCCTGTTGAAATAATGTTCATAATTGTTTAGCTGGGATGGTTTAGTCTCCATATTTTGTTCTGTTGTTGCTGTCAGGGATCCAAACTTCTAGTTAATGCAACACAGCATAGTGGGAAGCCACCTGCCAAGTCGCTGGCCATCTGCAGTTCTCAAAGGATGGGAGTTAATCTACACTCACAGAATTTGAATGCATTTCTACAGACAGAGCAGTGATGGCACAGTGGTGTGTCTGGTTCAATACACAGTTACCTTGGTTTATTCCCCAGTCTGTTGTAGTGGTGATGGTGGAATGATCATTGCCATTTTAGATCACTCCCCCAAGGTCCCTCAGTTTAAAGCCTGCCTCACTAAGTTGGCCAGCCTGTTGCCAAAGATTCCCCTGCCTCTCTAAGTGAGATGGATTCCATCCCTTCCCAGCAGGTTCTATCCCTTGTAGAAGGTGCCATTATCATAAAAGCCAAAACCCTCACAGCAACACCAGCATCATAGCCAGCTGTTGACCTGCATTATGTGTCTATTCCTGACTGCTCCCAGTCCTTGAACCGGTGGTATTGAAGAAAAGATAACTTGGGGATTGTAACTCTTTACTTTCTCCCCCAGGGCCTCCAACTCTTTCTTGATTCTGCCACAATTTGGTCTTAAGAGTGTTGTTTGTGCCCACATGAAAGAGTAATAGGGGATAGTAGTCATGATCTTGACAAGTTCTGACACCTTCTCAGCAACATCACAGACCTTAGCTTCGGGAAGGCAGGACACCTCATGTGATTCCCTGCTGGGTCTGCAGATGGGCACTTCAGTGCCTTTAACAGGGAGTCTCCCACTACAAGCACACATGGGTTTTTTTTTGCAGTATCTGCCATGTGCTCTTGTTTCTGTTGTATCTTGTGGACCTTGCACTTCTGTGGATGGGATTTTACCAACATCCTCATTTTCCTTGTCCTCTCATATCCAGAGCCCCGTATTTTTTCTGTAGGGGCACCTGGGAAGGAGGGGAAGGTCTGGAGGAGACTCGCCTGCTGCACTGAGAGACCAGCATCATCTCTTAGGTCCCCATCTTCTGCTTGGTGACAAGAGGGCAGAGGATCCTCTACCTCTTGTGGAGCCTCTACCAGCTGCCTTTTCCCTAAGGATTGTAGGATGTGGCTCCACCAGTCTTATTTCCCTTTCACATTCCCAGATGGTCCTTAATCTTTCCACCTCCTTCTTAAGCTCTGCCACCAGGCTGAGCAGATCATTTACCTGGTCACAGTGCACATGGGTGTTGTCTTTGTTGTCCTCTGGCAAGAGCGACAGGCTCAGACATTCCACACAGCCTGGCACCTGGACAGCCACATGTTTTCAAGGAAGGTCAGTCTGGGTGGCTGTGTTTCCTTTGACCATGGTTTTGGACCCAATGAAGACCATTGCTGATGACACTAAACTGGGAGGAGTGGCTGACACACCAGAAGGCTGTGCTGCCATTCAGTGAGACCTGGACAGGCTGGAGAGTTTGGCGGGGATAAATTTAATGAAATACAGCAAGGGCAAGTGTAGAGTCTTGCATCTGGGGAAGAACAACACCATGTCCCAGTACAGGTTGGGGGCTGACCTGCTGGAGAGCAGTGTAGGAGAAAGGGACCTGGGGGTCCTGGTGGACAGGAGGATGACCATGAGCCAGCAATGTGCCCTTGTGGCTAAGAAGGCCAGTGGCATCCTGGGGTGTATTAGAAAGGGGGTGGTTAGTAGGTCAAGAGATGTTCTCCTCCCCCTCTATTCTGCTTTGGTGAGGCCACATCTGGAGTATTGTGTCCAGTTCTGGGCCCCTCAGTTCAAGAAGGACAGGGGACTGCTTGAAAGAGTCTGGTGCAGAGCCACAAAGATGCTTATGAGGAAAGGCTGAAGGAGCTGGCTCTGTTAGGCTTGGAGACTGAGGGGTGACCTCATCAGTGTTTATAAATATGTTAAGGGTGAGTGTCTGGAGGACAGAGCCAGGCTTTTTTCAGTGATGTCCAGTGATAGGACAAGGGGCAGTGGGTGCAAACTGGAACATAGGAGGTTCCACGTAAACATCAGAAAAACCTTCTTTACTGTGAGAGTGACAGAGCACGGGAACAGGCTGCCCAGAGAGGATGTGGAGTCTCCTTCACTGGAGACATTCAAAACCCACCTGGACACGTTCCTGTGTGATGTGCTCTGGGTGACCCTGCTCTGGCAGGGGGGTTGGACTACATGATCTTTCGGAGTCACTTTCAACCTCTAAGATTCTGTGATTCTGTGTTTAATAAAATTATAATTACTAAATCTGCTGATGGATTTGTTTTCCATGATGAGTTTTCTCCTGAGGTAAAGTTACATTTTAGTGCTCTACTTCAGAGAGTTATTACTGACTACTCTGGTTTTTGAAGAAACCAGGTATGCCCCAGTCTCCCATTACATATAATGAAGACAAAACTGTCACATTTGCCTGTTGCTGTAAGTGTTTGGGGGTTATTTTTTTTTAAGGTTAATTGATTTGGTGTTTGTTAGATGGTAACCTACAAGAATAATCAGTAGAGAGATCGTGACATTCATATTTTGATTAAAAAACCAAAATACTGCAATCTCATTTTGTAAACTCATGCAGCTTTTCCTGATTTCTGAAAACATTTTGGAAAACAGCTGTTTTACATTTAATTTAATGTATCTTTATAATTTTCAAAATATTAGGAACTTTCAAAAAATTGAGCCTTTCAGATCCAGAAGCATTAGGAAAATTATAGTAAATTGCTTCTGCCAAAAAACCCCCACGTTTTTAGTTATCTTAATGTAGTTACTGATTCCTCTTAGTGTCCCATTCATTTTATATTTTGGCAAAATTTATTTCTCTTTCTTTCGCTTTTTTTCTTCAATTAATTTCTATCTTCAAAGCTTGATAGTTGAGTAACATTCAGGAATTTTGACAAGTGCAGTATCCATTTTATTTGTCTTCCTTTTTCCCTTTCAGAAATTGGTAATTTGAAAACAGGGTGGTATTTGGACATGGAACAATTTGTATCTCTCTTTTTTTTTTTTAATCTCAGCTAATAAGGTAGTGTAATTGTATGTTTTTGTTCATCATAGGCAAACTTACACAGAATTAACTGTATAATAAACTTCATTCACCATGTTAACATATTCAGTAATTTTCCAAAGAAGTGAGACATTTGCAGAGGTCCTGGAAGTGAGTCGTAGCATATTTGGTTAACGCAAAACACAGACAAAGCGTATTTAGAATGAATATAAATAAGATTATATGTCCTAATTAAAGTTATTTGCTGTCTGATGTATGGCATTTTGAAAGTACAGTGCATTTAGTGCAATATCCAGCCTGTGCAGAAAAGTGGGATTATTAACATTCCTACTAGGCAGAGCAGTTCAAAGCCACGTGTAAAATTAACTGAAATCACATTTTATGGGGGATGGGGGCTTTCTCCATGTAAGGCTTGTGGTTGAGTTTAAGGTCCTAGTTACCTTGGTTCAGGTAAATGTGTGGTCTGATTGTTCATGCATATTCATGCCTGTTAGCCACGCTGCTGCACAGACACATTCATGAATAATTCTCTTACACAGATCTTGGTACTCAGGATGTTATTTATATCTCAGAAAAAGTTTTTCACATTCTTGGTGGTTTTGCCTGTTAGGAAACTTGCTTTTCTCTTTAAAAACACTGTCAAACCCACCCCCAAAACCACCAGAACATCCTCTCTGCCCTCCACCCACCAAAAAAGAGACAAATCCCCAAAGAAGTAGATAATGTATGGGTTCTTAAAGATTACTAGAGTGACGTGTTGAGGTTTTTAACGTAAAGGTATTTCTAAAGGTTTGCACAGATGTATTTCTGAGAAGATTACATATTTCTAACGTACAGAGCAAAGGGATGATGAGGAGTATTTAGAACTGAATACAGTATCCTTCATTTGCCCTTAACCATTAAGCTTTATCACTGCATGCTTCTAAATGTATGCTACCTTCCAACTGGGATGTGCTTCAGTGAGCTGTGAGTCTATTTTGTATTGTTAGGATATTGTTATTAAATAATTCCTACTTAAACTATAGTTTTGTGGTTTTAGATTAGGCTATACACATTGTATGTGACTTCTTAAATAAAACATGCTACGTAAATAGTAAGTGTACAAAGAGGTATACAGGGTATTTTATACAACATAGAACTGAATGCCTCATTGAGTAACAAGATGTAAATTCTGAGTCTAGGAGAGATGCAGTAATGTCATGAGTAGTGAGGTATATAAATTTTCATTAAAATAATAAAACATATTGTGTGTATGTGTCAAATAAGGTAGGAAAATTATGTGATATGTTCTAATAATGGTCTGTCGCACAAAGTAGGAACCTTTTTTGCCATCTTACTTTTTTTTTTTTCACCCAGCTCGTGCACAAGGAATTTGCTGGGGGGAACAGGAGCAAATAGGTGAAAGAGGACTCTTTTCTGTAAGATGCTACATGTGCTCTTTGAAACAAGATCAGAACTTGCACTTTGGCTTTTTGGTGTTGTTTTTATTAAAAGTAAGATTCCTTCTGTTTCACAAAGAGAAGCAGAGTTAATGAGAAAGCTGATGGTATTTTACAGGAAAGCCTGCAAGTCTGGGTCTGAGAGTGGAAAGAAGTTGGTGATTCCAAAGTCACTATTAAATTTCATCTTTACAAAATTATTTTCAACACCAAAAAGAATATATCCATTCATTCATGCAATCTCCAATTCCACAGATTAAAAAAAACCAACAAAAAACAAAACCCCTCAAACTATTGATTTAATATCTGGACATTAAACCTAATCCACTTGACTGTAACATCTTACCTAATTCAAAACGTGAATGTAGCAAAGGATATTTGCCTCAGGTTCTCATCACAACTCCTTAACAAATGCTGTTTGCATGGTAATGGGGTGTCTTGCTTTCCCAAGCATAGTTCAGTTCAATAGAGAATGATTTCATGTGCTCTGGAGAAAAGTATCACATTGTTCTTTATCTGTATTTTTAGGTACTGCTGTAGCACTCATTATCCTAGCTTCGGGATTTTTGCTATCAGCTCAGGTCTCACCAAGAATCACACTTAATCCACCAGATCCTTCACATCAAAACTCTACCTGCACAAAATACAGGTGAGATTTCATGATCATTCATCCAGTCTTCTTGAAGATTTTTTTCTGATTGAGATTTACAACCTAGTGTGAGTATAGACGAGTATTAAGTAAGTCTAGTACAACGAACTAAGCTGTATACCTAAAGTTAAAATAGTAATTTTCATCAACAGAGAAAATTAGAGTATTTGCTTAAATGCTCTGAGTAACCGTTTAGAGTCTTGGAGTAAATAAAGTGGTTAAGTGGCATACTGCACACTTGAGATCGCCTTTGTTCTATCGCATATGTTGCAATTTATAACGGACGCAAAGTCAGGAATATTTTGAAACTCATTTGTAAATATGCTTGCTCTTAGTTGTCTACTTGTAGGTGAGTCATATGTAACATCTGTAGACTCTTGAAGAAGATGTGTTCCTTGCCTGTTGTCTTCTATAGTGGAAAAAAAAAAAATCTTAAGATAATTACAAAGCAATTAACAATTAAAACAAATGTGATATTTTTTACTTTTATTATATAGTGGGTAGAAGATGCAAATTCATATGCAATCATAGTTTCAAATAACATTACTTTTAGGGTATTAGAAGTGTGTAATTTTCCTTATTTTGTGGGTTCTATTCACAAATGAGAGCTCTGTAATTTAGCTGGCAAACTAGAAAATTCTCTATTGGGAGAAGACTATAAGATGGCTGAAGAAATTTCTACTTATGTTCAAAATCTGTTTTTATGTGTTTGCAATAGAGATGAATATCAGGAAATGAGAGATACACTCTTAGTTTCCTTGTGATATTGGCTAGAAATATGGTTCATGGCTTTTCATATGCCAGCAGAATGTCTTGGTGGAAGGATTCTAAAGATCTGAAGCTTTATGAACTCCTGGGAAGGGAACAGAGGGTCTTCAAGAGTGTAAATAGATGCTAATAACAGCAATGTTAGATACTACCAAATATGACACTTCCTGTATTTTTAGTTGTTTTCTACTGCAGAGTCAACTATATATTACAATTTTTGAGATGGGTCTTTACAGCTTTTTCAAATGTCAGGTAATCTGGCTAAAAGATTCAAAGGGGAAAAGCTTATAAATGTTCCCCATTCTGAATACGGAGAGAAAAAACGTACTCGCCTAGGACTTCAGTTAACTATTTAGAAGGGATGTCTGGAGAGCACAGATGCACCATTTGCAGAGCTCATTATTTGTTATCTAATCATACTAGATGATTATACAACCTGAAACAATACAAAATTGTGTAGAGAAAAAATGTGATTAGTTCATCCTGAGAAGTAATGAAAGATTATTTGACACAGTTTTCATTTTCCAGTGAACCACAGCTAGTCAGGAAAGAAATGTAGACTTGCTACTGTTAGCTTAGTGTGCACTTCTGGGCAAAAGCATGAAAAATTAAAGCAATTAGTTCCAGTAAAGGCATGTTGTTTCATGAATTATTGGAATAGTTTAAGCTGTCATAATTTCTGTTTCTGACATGCAGTGAGCAAAACCAGTTATGATAGAATTTCAAAGGTCTAAAGAGGGTCTAGAAAAGAGCAATAATAGAATTGAAATATTTTAATTTGGGAATATTTTCTAATATGAGGAGTTCTCTTAGTTTTCAGATAAGAGTGAACATATCAAGGGGTATGTGAAATAATGAGCAACATAGGATAAAGCTTTAGTTGCTCCTATTTTTAATCTTATAGTATACCTTGGTAAAGAGACACAAAAGCCAGGAGAGTAGAAGATAATAAATGGATGCAGTTGCCTGCAGATCACAGAATTGGGCTACCCACTGTTTAAAAGGATGTAAAAAAATTAGGCATTTTTATGGTTAATAACGTTCACAGTTGTGTATCTAAAACTGTATTTAGGATATCAATTTTCCTGCTTCAAAATGTTAGCAAACCCTGGGCTTTGCTACAGCAGGAGGAAGAATATTCCTTCAGAATCATGAACTTTAGTGTCCAATATGGGATGTGGTATCAGCCACTGACTGCAAAGCAGGAAGCCTCGAAATTCCTGGTGTCTTCAGCCAAGGAAGCAATAAGTGCAAGAAATATTGTTTGCTTTTAGCACAGATCAAGGGAAGAAAACCACTTAAAATATTTTGTCTGCAGTGGTGTCACCAGAGGAGCATAGTTTCAGCATGCCTCTCTGACAAGATCTTGTAGCTACACATAGAGAACATACATTAATTTATTCCTTTAGCTGTCAGAGTTTGACTAAGGATCAGCAATTAAATCAGAGACAACAATGCTTTCGATCCCCTCGCATCCAGGTAGGGAAGGAGAGAGAGAATGAGAGAGAGACTCTCTGGATTGAAAACTAAACTACACAGATTTAATTAAACACTAATGACAAAAGAAAATGTGTACAATTATATCCAAATGTGTTCATGAATGTGCAAAACCCTACTGCCTCCTCCCACCCTCAGCAACTCCCACAGCATCCCCTCAGCTGCAAACAGTCCCAGAGAATTCCAGAGCTGCTGGAGACAGCACAGAGTCATGAGGGTCAGGAGAGCTCGAGCCTGGGGGTCGACAGTGATGGATGGATGGAATCCTCCCTGGCCATGGACGGAAGAGAAGGGCAGAAGAAGCAGGAAGGAAGTTGTCTTCTGTGATCTCTGACCTTCCTCTGAGCTCACATAGATATATGGGATGGAAAACAAAGATGTGACCTTGGAGTCCCAGCAATAACATAAACATTTTAGTGTTATCAGTCCTAGCTGGAACACTTGCTGCTAGTTAAAAGAGAGCTTACTGAAGGCAGAAAAAAATCAGTAAAAGGAAAAGTGGCTTCATCCTGGCTCAAATCAGGACAATTATTTCTGAAGTGGATGACGTGTAGCCATACACTATATTCAACTTGGAGGAGCGGCTGTTCAAGATATGGGTATGGCTGCTTTCTGTGCATGTGATCAATAAGCTGAATGATTTTTTTTTTTTGTAATGGTTTTGTCATGAGAAAATAGATGATGTCTTCACCATTCCACCCATGTTGGAAGTACTACATCATGACATGCATGGCCTTGGAAGGAAGAGGAGATGGGAACTACAAACCAAAGGAAAGTTAAAGGCTGGGCTGTATTTTGAGAGTCTTGCTTCTCTCTCCTTTTTAGCCCTGAAGGTATTGCCTGTGGCATCTAGGGAGTTGGGTCAAATTGGTTCTCAAACTTTAGGATTTGAAAGTAAAACTCTACTCTGCATAATGCCAGTCTTGCATATTTTCTGTGCTGCTCAAAGAATAATGGCATCGAAGTAGCTGTAGAGACAGCCACCATGTGAGGCAGCAAATGTTACTGTAGGGATAGTTAGATAAGATACCCAATCAAAGCAAAATGAAGTAACGTAAAGGCAGAGGTCTCTTGCTGTTTAATCCATTTTAGCTTGCTTCAGTATAACTGCTGGTATCCCATATTTCTTAGCATTGTGTCTTGTAAGCCTGGAAGAGGTCTCAGAAAGTTTTGAAAAATCAAAATTCAGGAGGACTTCAGAAGGTCAACAAATAATGCCATCTGCCTGTGGCCACCGTAACCACTTTAAATGTGTGTGCCTGCACAAATGGTCTCCTTCATCTAATGGTGATTCAGTGCTTCTCTGAGTTGAAGTACACTTAAAGCCTAAACCTTCTTGCAGCTTGGCCTTCTCAGAGTATGGAGGTGTTTCCTAAATGTAACTTGTAATTGCCTCTGCCAAAATTCATTTATAAGTTATAAAAACATCAGTAAAATGTATTTTTCTGACAGAAGTTTCATTGATACTTTGCCGAGTAAATTTTTTCTTTTCATTTGCACATCTGTTGGCTTAGAGTAGGTGATTGTCCTCTATGGAAGCCTTAGAGCTACAAGAAACAGCCTGTTTGTTTTGTTGTTCCCTCAGATCCATATTCCTCCGCACAGATTAATTTCTGCTGCTAGAATGTCGATGAAGATTGAGCAGACTAGCAAACAAAGAATACGGTTACTGCCCTGATTCAGAACAGCACCTAGGGCTTAGAACAGAACATTCTGAAAAGCTAGGCCATGCAAGGAGAGGTACAGGTTACCTGTATGTGCTTGCAGAAAAAACAAACAGGCTGCAAGTATCAGGTAAAATACTTTCTTTTGGTGTAAAGATGTATAATACCATAGCTGATAAATAGCCAAAAAAATAAATAAATTCTAAATTAGTGAAAAAAATTGAATGTAATCCTCATTCACAAGGACGTTGTAGAAGTAACACAAACCCAGCAAGACTCCCAGAACACTGGAATTCTCTTTGTCGCCTCAGAGGTGGAAGTGGGCAGGTGTCTCAGTATGGAAAGGCAAGGTGAATGCTCATCTGTGCCATCCTTAACTCAAACTTCATTTCCGTACTTAACCTGTGAGAGGTCGTATAAGATGTTTGCAGTGTGACCATTTGTTTTCTTTGATCTTAATCTCTTCAACAGCTGTGATCTGTTACGTATCATTAAGACCACAGAGAAGCTCAGAGGTAAATTTAGGACTACAAAATAACATTGTCTCAAAATTTGTCATTTTAAAAATTAAAATATAAGCTACCCATTCCTATTATTATTCTCACTACTCAAAACTCTATAAAAACATTCCTGTTTTCACTGAAGACTTGCCTGGCTCTGGAAAGAGGCCAAGGTTAGGGCATGTGTACTAGCTACTTTACTGCCTTTTTCCAATCTTTAAAGAATTAAAGTTGTGACCATCCTGCTCTGCTTTTCTCTGGATCATTCACCCATTTCTGGAAAATGATCTTTGTCTTACTGCCTTTTATTCTTGGTCTTTTTGTCTCCTTTTATTCATGTGTCTGTCTCTTACTGTACTACTTGTGACCTGATCAGCTGCAGAAGACATAGCGTGAACTTGTTCTGCTTAAGCAATATTTTTCATCTCAGTTACTACAGGAAAATGGTAATATTTGTTTAATGTTATGTTAACTCTCATACCCTAGGGAAATAATACCTGCTCACAAGAACTTTATCAAGTTCCTTCCCAAACAGGTTGTCTTCAGAGTTTAATTAAAATAATACTGGCAG